AATACAGACAATACAGAGTTACAAACAAAGTGGTAGGGAATTAACAATGGTGGTTGTATTACATATTGATATCTTCAAAGTGGCTTCTCATGAATATTGCATGTCTCTTGTAGTTTTAGATTCTGTCTTCTTTCTTGATGTTCTGTGTTTTATTTTTTGTAGGAATCTTGATTTTCTGAAAAATTCTTACTCGTGCTCTTCTAGAATATTGGTCTTTGCCATTCTGAATGCAGGAATTCCAGCCATGCATCACTACCCGGGCTTATTTCTTAACTTTAAACAAATATTATCTTTTATCTTTGTGCTGCCTTTTAGGTGATATTCTGAGTTCTGTTTTCAAATAAATTAGCACAAGTATTAGGTGGCCCAGTCTAATATTATTTCTTTTATTGAGTTTTAAAAGTGTGTATTTTCTCTTTTTATTATTTGGCTGCTCTCCCCGATTCCTCCATTATTCCTGAGAATTTTGAGTATATTTGTTTAGCATTCTTCTCGCCCCATGTTTTGCTTCAGTATTTCCTTAGGCATGAATTACCTCATCCATTGGGTTCACTGGCAGAAGTACTTTTGTGGCTCTGGAGTAGTTTAAATGCTTGACAATGTTACTTTGCGAATTCATTTTGTGTAGGTGTTTTTACCATGCATGCCTCTCTGTTATGTGGTTGTTAAGACCTTCAGATTGTACAGCTACAAACTCTGGAAAAATATTCACATTAGTTCTTAAGGACCTTACCCCGAGCCACTTGGGCAATGCTAGAAATACATTCATTCTTATTGCGAGAGTCAGATACTGGGTTTTGACAAAGAGCTGTGGTTTGTAGGAAGTAAAGAGACTAAAACTGTGTTTCACTGGGAGACTGTGGCAGGAAGCATGCTCCTGTCAGTGAACCTGCAGAAGGAACCAAAGCACTTGCATGCAGTCAGAAAATGCTAAGCATTCTATCTTCAACATGTGTCCAGAATATAATCACTTATTATTACCTCTGCTCTACCACCTTGGCCCAAGCCACTCTCTGACTTACTGGAAATCTTCAAATGCCATTGTCCCCATCATTTAATTCAGATGCCACTGTCTCTATCTTTTTATTCTCATACCATAGCCAAAGTAATTCTGTGTACGTTAGACGAGCTCATCCACTGCCCCAAACTCTCCACCCACGGGCCATCCTCACTATGGCCTAGAGATCCTCTGATGTCTTCTCTGCTACAGCTTGCCCTGAGCTTATCTCCTCCCCGCTATGCTGAACACAGGCAGATTTCCTCCTCATGGGATGTCTACATTACTTCTCTCTTACTTCCTTCACACATTTATTCAAATGTCATCTTTGATGTATGATTTAATACTGAATTTTTCCAACACTGATGACATTTGTCATCATGGAACATTCTTCACAATTCACTCATCTTCTTCTTCTTTTTTTTTTTTTTT